TCAAATTAAATTAAATTAAATAAAAAATCAAATAAAATTCCAATTTTTTCAAAATAAAATAAATAAAATAAATTGAAAAAAATAATAATAATAATACACTTGGGGTGTTACAATTACTCTTAAAAAACTGTTAAAAAATAATGTAATATTACATTCTGTCATCATTATTCTAGGTTAACCGTAGAATATGGTTTAACTGTCAAATTCCATTAGGTAACCAACCATGTCTAATGTCAATTACAACTGATTAATGAATGATATAAAAAACTCTTTTTTTCTTTCCATTCAATTGCCATGACCAAGATCTTAATTTAGTTATTTTAATAAATGATAACATAGAGTTTAAACTTATTACTAAAGTTGACAGATTCCGTCTTGATCAATTACTAATTCTACAAGTATTTAATCGCACTCAATATCTTTTCAATTATAGTTTTATGATTATAGGTGTTCAAAAATTAAAGTATGATAAATGACTTGTTAATTACTATAATGATCTCATGTAATAGAAAATTCTTATATCTCATCATTTTGAGAGAATATCGTATTGATAGTTTAAGATAATATTAACCATTAAGAATTCTCAATTGGGTCAGTTCAACGATCATATCTCTATATATATCATCTACATATGTGACTTACTTAATGAGATAACTAATTTTTATCTTATAAAGATAATAACATATATATTAATTTTTAGGGGATCATTAATGTTCTATTTTGATTATTTAACGGTTAAGAATATTTTACATTAAATTATAAAATATTTTACTCTCATTATCAAGATCTGTATCTTGATGTAAAGTCTGTAAATTTAATCAAAGGTTTCTTCGTATAAATTAAACAATAAGATAAATAATATGATAATAAAAATATTATTGTCACTTATTAAAATAAATTATCAAATAATAATGTATTCAATATATTACACGAATAATTAGATTTTGGACAAAATAATTATATCCTAACACAATGTTCATTATTTTATTAAATGTTTAAATCTTTTCCGTTCCCTAGGTTATGTTTAATGAATTTAATATTTACCTTCTCAGTTTTTTAAATCCTTCACATTCATGTAATAGATTATTGTAACTTTACTGTTGGTAATTTAGAAGATTTTAGAATTGTCATAGACCAGTTGATTGAAATGTAAATAGATAGTATATGGGTGGTACCCTCTTGGTATCGATGTTAATTATTTATACTGTACTTCTAATTTTTTTTTTTAAATTTTTATTGTTGGCAGTGACATTCAACTTGTATTGATATTTGTTAAAATAATGTGATTTATCCTCTCTAAGTTGCTGTTATGATCAATGTAATGGATAACCTAACTATCTATTTTTTTTAGATGTTATGTAACCTGGTTGGTATTATTTGAGTTTTTTAGTTTTTCTAATCATTATATATGCTACTGCAAGCGCTAATGTGATTATTTACATAAGAAATGGTTAAAATAACATAAGATTGAGTACTGTGGAATTAGTTAAAAACTTTTTGTGCAATTGATGCTATGTTACTAATTAGTTGGAAAAAAAGTTTGCGCAGAGAGAAGAATGGACCATTCTCTTTGACACACTGGCTATAAGGTTGATGGCTGCTAGTAATACTTTGGTAGCAATGCTTTGTTATATATGTGTGGGAAATATTGATAAAAACTGTGGAAATTTGGTCAAGGAGCTTTGCAACCGAGCACGAAAGCAAGTCTTATGTTGACCTTCTTCAGGTTAGTTTGCAACTTTTGGAGTTCATCGTTCCAAAATAGCATCATCAGTCAAGAATCCAACCATGTCCAATTTGTTAGGATTTGATGGAGAAGACTATTGTTCTTGCTTTGGCAACCGGTCAGAAAAGATTCAATGCATCTTTATGCAAACTTATTGAGAAATATACTGAAATTTTAGCCAGTCTGTAACGGCCACGGAAATTTAAATGAAATATATATATTAAAAATGTCAAATGTGGAAGCGTGATAAAAATTTTGACAACATCCCTTACACAATAACCAAAACGTACTCAAAATATGAAATTTCAAACTAACTAAGAGAGAAACTCGAAAATAAAAACTATAAATATAATTACGGAGTCTTTAGGCATCCCCTTCGCCGTCTTCCTGTGGAACGAGCTCGGGAACAATGTCTTCCTGATTTGAAATGGTTAAATAAGGAATGAGCTACACCAGCCCAGTAAAGACATCACACTATCTCACCACCACGGAGGTAAAGGTGGGTAGAAAACACAAAAAGACCAATGGAGCATAATTTATAACAAATTTTTTTATCAATAATAAAATCCTTTACTGTCCACTTACCTCGGTGAAGTTCATAAAACAACATACAAAAACAATAATATAATCATCATCATGAAATCATATGAACTGTATAACATAATACTTACCACGCCTTTGCATTTCAATCATTACACAACATATTTCCCTCATTTACCAGCCTACTAGTATCCATGGGGATCCATAGAGGTCCCGCTACCCATGAACCCTTAACATTTGTAATCAGATTCCAGGGCCGTCCCCATACCCCGTCCGGTATGGGCACCAAAACCATAAACCTCAATACCCCGTCCGACATGAGGGTGAAACGGGCTGTCCCCATACCCCGTCCGGTATGGGCGCTAAAACACATAAGGTCTTCATACCCTGTCCGGTATGAGAGACCATAATCCCGGTTGAGTTCCCTACGGACCCGGTCCGTCCACCATCTCCCAGGATATCTAGTCAGGCTGACCACATTATACAATTATCAATTTACATAACCTTTTATTCCCTTTTTCCTCAGTCAGCATCATCAAATCACACACAAACTAGCAAACTAGTAATTTACGCCAAACAAGACAACACACAATATCGGGTTCTCAGTCATTCAACCCATAATCAATAAAATAGTGATATATGCACACGAAACTATGAAATGAAAACATCAGACATCATACTGCATTTAAAACTGTAAAATAGAACAAACAACAACTGACCGGCATATACACCAGACTCGGGCTCCATTAGCGACCTTAAATAATTTCACACATCTATTGATTCATGAAATACCGTTTTATCATTTATTGAACTTTAATACCGTGATAGGAAATAGGGTGAGGGGTCCTTACTTGTTTCGGGATCTGAATACGGCTCTACAGTGCGCCTACAAGCTATCTCTAATTTTCCCTGAATTTTTCCCGGAGAACTGAAACGCACTACTAGTACCTGTACGTGTCCCAAAAAAAATCTCAAATTAGACCTAGGGCCCCTTTTGGCCAATATCGCAATTCCGGCACGGCGGCTTCGCCGTGCTCCGGCGTCGGCGCCGCCGCTTGCGGCGGTGATTCGCCTCGGGTTGGCCGTTTTCAGCCGTTTCTGGCCGAATTCAGCCACACTTGCATCGGTTCCTACGATAGAACAACCCTAGGGCCCTCGGTGGGCCGAAAAATCACAAAAAATCGAAACTTACCGGCGGCGGTGCTCTCGGGTGCGGCGGCTCCTCCGGCGTGAGTCGCGTTTTGATGTTTGGCTCCGATCAACCTGTAGAGAAAAGAACGGTGATCACAGTGGTATAAAATTTGCATCGAACGGAGGCAAAAACCGAGGAGGGGCGCGGCGGCGCCGCTGGGTTTCGGCTGAGTTTTTCGACCGTTTGGCCGGTGGTTTGGCTCCGGTTTGGTCATAGGCAGACTCAGCATCGAAAAACGAGCAAGGGGGAGAAAAATTACCTCGATCGGCAGTCGAAAACTTCCCCGGTGCGGCGGCGGGTGGCGACGGCCGACTCCTCCGGCGACTGGTTCTTCTTCTTCGGCGAGCACTGGTGGCTAGGGTTTCTTTGGTCAGGTGTGGGTGGGGGTATTTATACCCTTCGCCTTTTAATCTTGACCGTCCATCAAGATTGAATCTGGACCGTTCATCGCGATGCAATCTGGGCCGTCCGTGCCTGATTGAATTTAGGCCGTCCGTGCGTGTGAATCCGGGCCGTCCGTGCGTGTGAATCTGGGCCGTCCGATCGCGCGCACGCAGATCGCCCCGGTGGCCCGTCCCCTGGCCAGCGTGTCCTTGCCACGCAGCGCGTCCGGGTTGGTCGGGGCTGCTGATCGAGCCGCTGACGTGGCTGCTGACGTGGCACAACTTTTCTAAATTACGTTTTGACCTCCGGTTTCCGATTTTATTTTCAAAAATACCCCCAGAATCCAAATTTTCACATTTTTTTCCCAAAATCAATTTCAATTAAATCCAAATAATATTTTTACCCAATTTTATCATTATTATTATTTTTATTTTTATTACATTAAATTAAATTAAATTAAATAAATCAATTAAATTTTCAATAATTACAAAATAAACTAAATAAAATAAATTAAAAATTAATAATAATAATAATAATAATAAAATTAATGGGTGTTACACAGTCAGGGTCTTTTACAACTACAATGGAGTATTTGAAACTTTTGGGGTATGATGAATTGTCACCTGAACTTGTGATCTTAAGGGATCGAATTTTTCTCTTTATAAAACCTGGTATGCTTCTAATGATGGCTTCTATTACTTTTACTAAAATTTCTGCTCTAATTGGTGAGGTTTTGAAGAGGTTTTATTACTTTGTTGGATATGTTGTTTTTTAAAGTTTTCTCCTTTATTTTCATTATAATTAGTCATGTTCAAGCTATGCACCATTCCCATTTGGTTTCATAGTGAAGAGAAACCAATACTGATTCTATTGGGTGAAGAGAAAACAATGCATTCCCTGATTAATATCCCTTTGGTCTTATTAACATATTGTTTTTAGTTTTTCTTTCTATTTCTACATATGGGAAGTTAGAAATTTATCATATAATAATTTCCAGAAATTAAACTAAAAGAGAGAGGTTCATGATAAGTTTTAAATCTTTTATGTTAAGTAATCTAGTATCCTTATGCATAAATATATATATATATTTTAAAAAAATTAGTATCCTTACGCATGAAGATAATCAATTTGGTCTTCTGTGGTTGGACTCTATGAATTTCTACCACATTTTCCATAGGGTCCTCTTATCTCTTCCTTCTCCAAGCTAATAATTGTAGGGATTACTCATAATAATGAACTTGCAAAATGGATATGTTTATCATTTAGAGATTCATTGTTCCTGAACTTGATTCACTTCAATTGTTATTTGAACAAGTCAAAATCATGTTTTGGTCTTAGTGAGGATAATATTTCTATTCTGCATGTTCATGGAGAGCTTTCAAAAATCCAAATATCTTAAAAATAGATAGAAAGGTAGGAATTAAACCATCCTCTTTGAAAAATAGGCTCCAGGTATGTTAGGAGTTCATTGATGAGAAGAGGTTGGGAAAAGTATGAACCCAGTTCCTATAGGGATGAATATAAATGCAATTGAAATTCCTGAGGAATTATATATTTGTGTATTAATAAGATCATTCATTAATTTTGGTTCAAATGAAATAGACAAACGAGAGGACATGTTTATATGTAGGTATCTACACCCTTGAGTGTTGGGCCACGTCTTCAAGGTGATGCAATGGTTTTTGGTGCCTCTTAATGAATTGCTTGTAACAAAAATGATTTTGACAATTCATCATGTTGTAAATAGCCCTTGTGTTTTTGTTAGACACTTAATTCTTCTCAAGCATCTAGCTATCGTCCAAAATGTTATTCTTATTGCAATTTTGGTGCTAGCTGATGTTGTTACTACTGGTGCTGAAAAAGAAACTAGTACTGTAGCTTTTGACAATTCTCAATCACAAAGCTCTCAGATATATTATCAGGTTTATGGTCTTGCATTCTATCTATGTAATCTTCTTTCAATTTCATCTGGTTAGTTTTGTAAACTATCTTTGTTTCCTTTCCTAATTGGTCAGGAGACAACATCATTACAGTTGCCAGTGTTCCTGGTAGTCCATATGAGGATAACTATCAGCAACCTCTTAGTTCAACCTATGCAGGTGGGTATACCCACCTGACATTCTATCTGACTCAAAAACCATGTACCATGTTTATCCCGCCCCAGCCTCAACAGTTTCCCCAGGTATTTTGCACTCCTAGATTCTTTTAATAGAGTTCCTAAAAATTTTCTGGTATTTGTTACTGGTTGAATCTGACTGTTCCGCACGTGTGTTTGGGCTTCATATGAAGTTTATAGGCTTGTAATTAGTCTGTGTAGGGTGTAGATTAGTCTATGGTGTAGGATATGGGTGAATGGGATTTCCCTCCAACAATTTCCTATGTGGACCATGTTTAACGAATATATATATATATATATATTGAAATATTAAAGTATGAATTGCATTGATATAGGCATCAAGGGGATGCCACACATATATAAAATGTACAAACATCAACAAGTTCTGTTAAATCCTCCTTAGAGTAAAGAGGATGATCCCATAACAAAAAATCAAGAGTTTGGAACCATCTATTTTTAAGAATATTAAAACCATTTACATTTTCAACCCCACTAAAAACCCTTCTATTTCTCTCATTCCAAACCACCCAGATAATATTTTTAGAACAAAGGAAGGTGAACATCCAAAGCAATACCTGTTTTTGCATTTAGAAAATTAAAAATTTCTTTCATTTTCCTTTATGCAAGTGTTAGCCTTTGATCATCTGCTGATAATTTTTTAACATCGGATAAGGTTGTTTCAGTTAATGTGAAATATGTTTTTTTTGTGCATTGATTTATTTTGTCCCTGCTTGTGCTCCTATTCCTGCTTCTGTTAGCTCTCAGTCAACCATGAGAACAACCTTTGTTCCTTCAACTCCCCCGGGGTGGAGAAAGCTGATCAGTATCAGCAGCGAACTTTGGGTTCTCAGTTATATCTTGTCCGTGTATCTACATTTTCTTTCATATTGGACGATATGAATATCATGTTGTAATTATATGCTGAAATATTTTGCATTTTTGCTCAGGGAACTACCAAACCTACATATCCTGTACCACCTGCACCTAGTTCCCTAGGACCTGTTCCTTCTCAAATCGGCCAAGTTCCTGGTCCTAAAATGCCACAGGTTGTTGCTCCCACTCCCACACCTCTTGGGTTTATGCCAATGGCTAGTGCGGGGGTTGTTCCAAAACCTGGATTGGGTCTAATGCCATCAATGCAACCAACTAGTCAAACTCAGCCAGCATTTCTGCAACAAAATATTGTGCCTGCAGCTCCACCTCCGACAGTGCAGACTGCTGACCCTTCATATGTTCTGGGTAATGTCTATTCCTCATTGTTTTGGTTGACAGTTCATGGAACATTTTGAATTTATTTTCTTAGGTTTATGCAAGCTGATAGTGACTATTGACAACGCACTTCCTAATTTCCTGTAGTATAATTATACTGCTGCTTTGCTGGTAACTTTCTGTAGTCCACCAAAAGCATGTCATTGCAACATTGACAAGACTTTTCAATGAAACATCGAAAGCACTCGGAGGCTCTCATGCAAATCTAACAAAAAAGCGTGAAATAAAAGACAATTTAAGGAAAATAGGTGCCTTATTTGCCAAACTCAATAGTGGAGACATTTCTAAAAATGCAGCTGATAAGCTTGTCAAGCTTTGCCAAGCTCTGGACAATAATGATTTCAGTACTGGCCTACAAATACAGATTTAACTTCTAAAAATACAAGATTTATCATTACCATCACCATTATTATTATTATTATTATTATGAGTGTATATATGATGATCGATTTGCGCATTTGACATGCATGAGAATGACTCCTGTTGATTGCAAAATTTAGAAATATTAGCTTTTTAGTCTTCACTTAATACTCTTTTACATGATTTTGGCTTGACATTAAATTGCATTTTTCTGGGAGGTAGTTAGTAAAGATAGTTTGCAAGACAGTAAAAGGACCTAGTTTTGATTTATCTTCTTTTGTTTCATTAGTTTGGCATCTTTTTCTCCACGACCCTTGATGTATAATCTAGGTTTCTATTTTTGTTGGTATCCCAATAACTAAAAAATTTGGATATTGATTTTTATATGCAAATGTTTTCGATATGAAAATGATTTTTATATTAGTATGAAACTTATAGGTGAAGAACTGAAGGAAACTGTGGTAAATTTTGATGATGATTATGATCCTTTTTTCCCTGTTATTTTTCACAATGAATTTCAGAAAAGAAGCCTCCATTTCTTCAACTTCCATTGTTGGATCATTTGAAGCTTTGTTAATAAAGTCCTGAACTAACCATTCTCCATTAATAGACTTCTTCTCTGCTTCTTTCCTTAATCTTCTCAACAGGTTCTCCTCAGCATCTTTTAACTTCTTAAACTTAGAGGAGGCGAAGATCTAAACCGACTGAAACTACCTCCATCTCCATCTATGAAGCTGAAAAGTATCCAAATTCGTCAAAGGTAGGCTTGAAGTGAGAAAACGTCAAAGGGGCAAGGAAAGGGGAATCAATCGCCATTACTAGGTCACTCAATCATTTGGTCCTTGATCTTTCTCCTCTGAATTTTCCATCATCAGATTCTAAATCCTTGTTTATCTCTTGCTTGATTCTAAATCTTCTTTTATTAGAGTATTCTATTATTTTGGTTATAATTGATTGTGTTGTTATTTTACTTTATTACCCTTACATGTATATATTATACTCTGTACTATGTAAAAGATATACACAAAAAATTTTCAGCTTAATATGGTATCAGAGCCTCTATGCTCTTCTCACTGTGATCGATTGATCACAGATTTTTTGATTCTTCAATTCAATCTCAAACTTCATTAATTTGATTCTTCCATTCAATCTTTCTTCTGTAAATTTGTTCAAATCTCAGACCCCATTAATCTTCAATGGTGAGAGGAGCTGTGGAACCCAATCAGGAGCTGCAAAGTTCATCCACCCAGACT